TATATTGCATTTAGCACCACCGGACCATTTGCTTTTTTGTTTTTGGGTTTTCTCTGCCAGCTTGAGCCTGAGGCGCCAACAATGCTAGCCATGTAGAGACTTGCCTCACTACTGGTGTCAGATCCTAGGACTTGCACAAAACGCATACCTCTGCTAGTTCCTGGTCTGTGATCTTTCACAGACCTGTTTATTTTTAATAGCGATGACTTTTATAGCTTTAGAGCATTTTATGCTGCTGGACAGCGGAGGTGATGTGTGGGGCAAAGCTGGATGGTAAAAGGGAATAGCGCCAAACCTGCAGCGAACAATACAGCTGGGTCCCTGGTGTGTAACTGAATGGGTTTCTTTACAGCATAACCGGCATGGCAAATGTGTACATTATGATAGTTTGCAATGTATGAAATCAACATCTGAGATGAATTTTTTTGCCCTGGAAACTTGTCATGAGAGAAATATAGGAGACGCTGGCCTAACAATGGTAGGTGCCTGACTTCAGTGTTCCTTGTCCTGATTTGAAACAAGTCTGAAGGAAACTAAGTTAATGTGGTCTGAATAGCTGACGTACCTGCTCTGGCGCAGATTCAGAGGGATACCATGACTACCAGGCACCTAGCATTTACAGTCATTGATGGCAACCACCCTGTTTCTTCCTTTTGAAAGGTCTCCTTTGAAGCAAGGCTGGACAAATCCCAACAGCCAGGTAGCCAGAGCTCCCTAAAATTACAGCTGGTGCATAACGTTTGAGGTTCTCTAACTGTTGCCAATGGGGATGGCTCCTAAAATTGATCTTGCCAGCTCTTGGATTAGACAGACTGGAATAGATTGCAGTTTACCAGTCCTTAGATGTAATGGCTGCATTCATTTTTTTTTGGGGGGGGGGGCTTGTTCCCCGTTATTTTACCTGCTAGTCCTGTGAAAAATAGACCTCCCTATGGGGGAGCCTATGTTCACTCCTCCACTGTATCTGTGGGGGCAGCCATGGTTGCCACCCAGGCTGGAATTTGAACACGTCTGTCTTTGTTCATCTTATTTTAGCTAGACTCCCATCTCCACAGCATAAACGCTTATCGTTCGGCAGTCCTAGAATAAGCACTGGACTCCTTGAGACAACATAGAACATGAGCACTGGACACATCTGAATTTCTGACATAAGCAACAGCTAATAACAGACAAAAAGGGAGCAAATTTGAGAAGTTAATTGATTGGGTTTATATACACTTTAAGGTGTCTGGGATCATGTGCTGTCCTATCGATTCACAACAACAGACAAGGCTCAGGAAAGCTGTTGGTTCTGAATGCATTGGGGACTTGGCTGCAAGGTTTGTCCAACCCTGACACACTCAGTGTGATAGAAATGATTGCCACTGGGCAGGAACGTCAAAGGTGGTCAGCTTATTTGGTTATAGTTTGCTGTTTTTTTAAGTTTTATTTATTTTCCATTAGCTTTGTTTGACTCATTTACCTGATTAGATAATAAGTGACAGCTTTCTTAAGTATAAAATGGTGGGTGTTGGCTCTAAGGACAAGTCCTTTTCAGAAGCATCATTCAAGTTGATATACAGTGTATGACCAAATGTTGGTGGACACCTGACAATTGCACCTATATAAGCTTGTTGGACATCGCAATCCAAAACCATTAGTGTTCTGATTAAGAGCTGACTACCCAGCAGCTATAAGAGCCTTCACTCTAATGGTAAGGCTTTCCATAGGGTTTTGGAGTGTGTCTGCGGGAACTTGTGCCCATTCAGCAGAAAGTGCATTTGTGAGGTCAGGAATTGATGTTGGATAAGAAGACCTGGCTCACATTCCAATTCATTCCAAAGGTGTTCAGTAGGGTTGAGGTCAGGGCTCTTTGAAGGCCACTCAAGGTCCTCAACACTGAGTTCATTAAACCATGTCTTTTATGGAGCTGGCTTTTTGCACCTGAACTCAAATCAGTTTGGAGGGGGTATCCATATACATCAGTCATACAGTGTTGACCAGCCTTTTGCCATCTTTTTAAACACAGGGGAACCCTTAAAAATGTCGGGTCCTAGGGGAACCCTTGCTTAGTACTATTATTTATAATTTTTTTAACGCTTGTTGCCTTTTGTTATGCAGGTTTTGTGAACAACGCAGTGGACTTGAATAATAAGTCAGGTAGACAGTTCAATTTAGAATGTTGAACCTTTGACAGCAGTAGGCTAGAAAAAGTTAAAATGGGTGATAACAACTGTTTTTAGGAGCATCAGTTGCCTGGCTCCCATTGGTCAGTCCTGTACTGTGTGCAATCTGGGAGAATTCTGGCAATGCCCTTAGAGAAGCAGATTGGCTTTCATTAGAAAGAATGATTTGGCTGGATAAATAAAAGGTGGAAATGTAAGTGAATACTTCACTGGTTTTGTTTTCAAAGCCTAATAGATTTAGTTTTATAGCTCCCTCCAATGTGCTGGTAGATCTGGCCAGCTTGTGATGCTCCTTGGTGGGGATGTTCGTACCATTAGCAGCAACTACCAACATGCTAGGAGATCTAGCCACCTTGTGATGCTTATTGGAAGGGATGTTGGTGCTGTTGGCACCCACCAACATGGGCGTAGATCTGGCCAGCTTGTGATGCTCCTTGGAAGTGATGTTAGCACCCACCAACATGGGCGTAGATCTGGGTAGCTTGTGATGCTCCTTGAAAGTGATGTTAAACACCGTTAGCACCCACCAACATGGGCGTAGATCTGGGTAGCTTGTGATGCTCCTTGAAAGTGATGTTAAACACCGTTAGCACCCACCAACATGGGCGTAGATCTGGCCAGCTTGCGATGCTCCTTGGAAGTGATGTTAGTACCATTAGCACCCACCAACATGCGGGTAGATCTGGCCAGCTTGTGATGCTCCTTGGAAGTGATGTTGGTATCATTAGAGAAGCTCCAGAACACTCTTCCACATAATTAATAAATCATGTTAAGTCTTTTAGGCCATAACTGTTTTGAAACAGGTTTAACATGAGTGGCTGTGGGGAAGCATAGGGCAGCTTTTACTTGGAAGCCCTGTCACTATTTTAAACTGCAGACCCTAACCATTCCTGCAAAAAGAATGGCTGCCAGTGCTTCCAATACCTGCTGTCTTCAGGATCATGCTGGCCAGGAACTTCTGCACCTAGTTTCCCTTTACTTGCTGTGGTTTCTCCACCTCTGCCACTACAGGACAAAATAATGATGTAGTAGGTGGCGCCATGTTGAGGGAACATCTTCCCACCAGCGTGGCTTCTAAAGACCACAGGTTTTGACAACATGGGTTGTGGGAGGGGTAAGTACGAGTATTATAGACATGGCTTTGGTTTAGAAAAGGAGTAGGCAAATTCTAGCTGTGGTGGACTATGAATGCCATCATGGATTTGCCTATGGCTGCCAGAGTTTTGAAGCGTCTCATGGGTTTTGTGGTTGTACCACAGCTGGAGGTCCGGAGTTTGCCTACTCCTGGTTGGTGTTTAAAAATGGTAAGAGGTATTCTCAAAGGTCTGTTGTTGCATGTCAATCTGTTAAAAGGAAACCTTTTCTGAGAGGATATGAAAGCTGCCGTTGCTGATCCCACATCATAGAATGCTAGTTAGCTGGCTGTCATTAGGATCCAGGGGCTTCACTGACACCAAAGGGCCTGTGTTGACGTCAAACCGATGGCATCATTTGGAAATGCTTCTGAGATCATTCATAATTCATTGACGAGTAGTTGACCTGCTTCAGGCTGGTTTTGTGTACTCATAGAAGCGAACAAAAGCCCATTGACCTTCTACAGATAAGGAGCTCTAAATGTTTAATCTTCATGCTTCTTCCAGGTCAGTTACTTACAATGCATCAAAGCCAAGCAGCTAGCATTGTAAAGAGGTCAGCTATGGTAGCCCTCACCACATTTGTCCTCCATTAGGATCTGGAGTCTGCTGCGGTGACAATACGAGATGGTGCCAGAAGAAAGTGGGTGGGTGGGTACTCTAAGTATCATGAAACATGGTCACAAAGGTTGACTTGACCTTTAAAAACATTTATAGATGTATACAGCAAATGAAAAGATGCTTCTGGGAAGGACCACCAAGCTTTAGCCACACACTTGTCTAAATTAGGTTTTAAATGCCACCTGGGCCCTGTGTGCAAAGACTGATAGCAGCTGCCATTCTTATTGGTCCATGCCACATACTGGATTGAGACCAGAGGCTGGCACTCTGGCTGATGTGGACCTATCAAGTCCCATGAAGCATTGCAATATTCTGACAGCCACAGGCATGAGTCCTAGAGCAGAGGCATGATTGGATTTGTAGGTTAACCACAGCAGGAGTTCCGGATGGATTCTGAGGTTGCCTACCCATTGATTACAAA